CTGAGCTCATTATCTCCCAAACCTTAGCATGTTATCTTTAAGGCAAAATCCAGCAGTTTTTAATCTAAGCGGCTATAGGCCTGAGAACAAGCTGCAGGGCCTGCTCCCTTCTCCCCCTGCCTTTTCTCCAACCTCATATACCTATACATAATTTTCCAAAGTCTTTATTAACTTAAAGACTTTGGCGCATTGCTTGGTTAAATGATAAACCTCTAAATATTTTAAAATAGCATACAATACTAAAACATTGATTGCTAGACATGTTTTAATTCACCTGCTCTTAGTTCTACCTATTTTCCTGGATGCAACCAAGATGATTGCTCTGCTTGAAAGTAAAAGTCTTTAATGCAGCAATTTAAGGTTTAAAAGTAAAAACGGCAAGTATTAAGGTTCAGTAAAAATAAGATAAGCCAGTGAGCAGCAGATTATAACCTCAGGAAATTTAAAGTACTAAATTTGGCTGGTCTGAGTGCAGTGTCTTAATTCTTATCCAACCAACCTGGCCCCTGGCCTCAACTGCTCCTTTCCTCCCCTTTCTCTTTTCCCTTGGATAACAGCCCATTCTAACATTCCCTCCCACTTTCACTGAAATAAAACATTAACCACTCATCTGTCACCCCTTATTGATAGTGCCATGGTGACTACCCTCTCAGCTTGGAGTGCGAAACTTAAAAAAGCAACCTTATAACCTTTGGTTCACCTCTTCTTACACCTTTCAGCTTTCTCTGTGGTCAGGGATTTTTTTTCCTTTGTTGGGAAAACACATACATCTGTTTCCCCATCAGAGGACAGGAACCTGTACTCTCATCTCTCACCCAGTGTAGATGTAGCCCCCAATAATCAGTGTTTACCTGTCCCTGTAGGAGTCTAGATAATCCCTCTTCTAGTAACCCTGGACATAACAGCAAGGGTTGGAACTGCCATAGGGAGTTTAACCTGTGGATGCCCAGCAAGGGGCAAGACTGGGAAAACAAGAACCTCACCCCCAGGGTAGTCTATTTTTCCCTTTAATTTACTAGTCAAGCAACTGAGACCCCTAATCTATCCCCCCTAAAGATAACATCTAGGTCTCAGTTATATTTCAGCTCCAGGCAAAAAAAAGAAAAGCAAAAAAAAAAAAAAAAAGATAGCTGAAACCGGTTTGGCTCAGTGGATAGAGTGTCGGCCTGCGGACTGAAAGGTCCCAGGTTCGATTCTGGTCAAGGGCATG